ACTCCTTGGTTAATGAGCTTCTCCCCAACCCTCCATGAGTATATATACAAAATGAAATTTTAAAAGAAAACAAGATGCAAATTTAAAAAAAAAAAAAAAAAAAACTGCCTGTTTTTGTGGGCTTTTGGGCTCTGTAACTAAATTCAGCACTGCTGGCCAACAAAAGCTACATGCCTCAGCCAAGGGTCAAATGAAACAGTCCCAAAGAATGACACATTAATATCGGGAGAGGGATCACAACGAGGTGCAACTGGGGAGCTGGGTACTTGAACCTCAGAACTTTATTTCAAGAGGCACATTGCAGGAAAATGACAAATCCAGAGATTGCCAAATATCTGTGCCTGAATGGCTTAAGAACTACCTTTGTTTTTGCCTAAATCGTGTAGCTGTAATTCAACATGAATCGGTGCAAGTGCTTGATTTTTTTTTCCGAGCTTTTAAAAGGTGAAGAGGAAGCAAGAGAACCACCCCCCCCCACCCCAAATAAACTCACAACACAAGAGGCCGAGGTCGGCCATCAACATGAAAGAGGGAAGCGAGTCTTAAGACTATCCATTCACAAGTACTAACTACAGCTGAGATTTCAAACACTTTAAAATGACACCTTCACAAATTCTGCATATCTTACAAAAAAAATACACTTGCCCTAACATAGAATGTTCTCTCATGCCATTATTGCAAATAGGTCTATACACTGCAGCAGTATTTTTAGATGTGGATGTTGCTATGCTGTAAATATTCTGCAAAATCACAGTGGTGGTAGTCGACACTGCATATGGCATACCTGTGATGAGAAATTTGGTTTCAAATATATATTTTTTTAACATATATGGTATATACTTTGCTTTTAGGTGAAACGGATTCAGATAGGTTTGTGTGTAATGGGCAGCAAGTCAAGCAGAGAAACTCTAAAACCCTGCAAGCAGCATAAACTAATCATGACTGTCTCTCCACATAATCAGCACAGCCTGAGCGATGCACGTCGTATTTCCTGCAGGAAGTATGAAGCATTCATGTTTCCGCAATGCCGAACTGGTTTAAATTCTGAGACAAAGCATAAGTGTGCTCGTCCATTCAGAGTGTGATTCTGATCCATGAAGACAATCCTACACAAACGACAGCATCCCCTTTCCAGACATCGAAACCCACTGGAGGACTAGCTCTCTATAATCACCTGCATTGTTCTGGAAGATTCCTCAATTAAAACACACAACAGAAATCAATTATGTACGTTACTCCTCCCCCCCGAAAAAAAAAAAAGCTTCAGTACCTTTCACTTGATCTGAATTTTGTGGCATATTTGTACAGAGAACGGCGGTATGTTTCTCCAACAGGAAATGCCAAGCAAATGCCAAACTCACACTTCAGCCCAAGCCTCGGACAGGAAGCGATTGTACATTTTAATCACTGCTTATAGTCAGTGTTCTCAGTACCTTTGTGCATGTAGCGCCACTGCCAATGGCAACAGTGCTCGGGAAAATCCGAAATAACCTTACAAGTCCTTCACACAGATGCTTCACCGCTTCCGCCGTCAAGCCAAGCTGAAGAAAGATATAGGTTCCCTTTTTCCCCTCAAATGAAACTTAAAAGCCATTGAGATTCAGCGTTAGAACTTTTCATTGCAATACCATATTGTAGACCGAGCAGGAAATGTTTCAGACCGAGGGGGAAAATAATAATAATAATAATAATAATAATTATATTTATATATTTTTATATATATACCAAACACGCGTTGTTCCAGTAAGCACTGACAAGAATGTTGTTAGGTTTAGTGTTGTACTGCCACAACACTGGCTGCATTCTAAACAAACATTTACAACACAGTTAACAGTGAAACTTATGTAATCTCAGTGCAAGTAAGTCAACTCCATACTTGTAAGGTAAGCCTTTGGCTTTTAGTAACGCGCTCTGTCAAGTCCACTCTGGCTGAAGCTGCAGAGCCCATGCACTACTGCTGCAACGGAGACTGTGAAGTGGCAACCCCCTGGGACATGTGGGGCTGGTTGGGTGCAGGCTGCGCCGGCGGCGGCGGGGGGGGCGGCGGCTGAGTCCCAGGCTGCGTGTTGGGGGAGGGTGGAGGGGTGGGACGCTTGAACTTATCGGGGCTGTTGCTCCTCCTTGGAGACGGCCTCTGGAGGGAGCACAAGAGACAGAGGTTCTGCAAACGAGCAGGACGGTCTCCAGGGGCGGGGGGCGCGTCAAGGCTCTCCGACTTCCTCCAATAGCCTCAAATCTTGGAGGTGTCATTGATGAGTTCAGTGAAGGCAACATCCAGCTTAGTCATGCACACAAGATATCACAGTCCGGAAATGAAAACTAAGTATGTAACAGACATATTTTAATCTTTATTCCTCTAATGAAACGCTGGTACCTCCGGGAGAGTCCGAGAGACCAGCAGGGTACGTTTCTTACTAATTGAGAACGTGACCTCCTTTGCGATCACACGCTCCCAGGCGGGAACACATACCAAGGGGTGAACTTACCGCCACACCGTGCGAGGAGCCCACGTGCACGTGGAGACCAGGTGGGTTGTAATAAGGCATGCCAGCTCTCGTCAGGGTGGCCGGGGGAGTGAAGCCGACCGTGTGAGGTGCATACGACAGTCCTGGGAGAGATGGAGTGAGACGTGAAAAACCCGAGGCCGTCCAGCGGGCCGTGAACATGCCACTACTCTGATGTAGCGGGCTGCGATCCACCTCCCGGCCCTGTTTCCAGACCATCGTAAGCCCTGTTTGAAAGTTATTTTTGTATCCTGTGAAACTGAGGTGACAAAATTAGATGTGCAAAAATACACTGGCACAAATCATTAGGACACAAAAACATTTTTGGCTGGAGGTCCTGATGCTCTGTGGGTGGTGCAGCAGGCAGTGAAGTGACTCAGTAAGCGGTCATGTGAGATCAAGATGGCCTGACAGACTGAGGGAAGATGCCACAGCAGACATTCTCCAGTGTATAAATGAGTAACAATGTACTTTCTACGGATGATAAATAACCAAAAAGTACAATTCCGAGCAGCCCAAATGTTTAAATACAAGATAAAATGGAAAATGCAACTCCACAGTACAAGTACACCTGCTAGATAGCAGTGTAAAGTTTGTAGTAATTATGTAATAAATATTAGTTGATGTTTAACAATTAAACATATCTGGTAAGGATGAGGGGTGCGTATTTTACAAGCAACTGCATGAACTTGATGTCCTGATAGCCTAGAATGACCCTCATGATATAATATATACTGTATTACCATCTACCTGCTAAACTCCTTCGAAGCTTAACCGGAATGCCATCTTAATGAACCTGAATATTAAAACGACGTCACAGAAACGACAACGCAAGTGTTTTCTACCAGGTGCTACAAATAACGTCAATATGAAACTGAAGTGGTACACTGTGCGATGTTGAAATCATTTAAGTTGCCTCTCCCTCCTTTAAACATTTTGCATCTAGAAATCTATCGCAAGCACAGTGAAGAGACAGAAGATGATACTGTACAAACGTCAGGGCTTTGCTCATTGTCATTGCCGCCGTAGCTGCTTTTTGTCGTCATTTCATACTTCAATGTTACTCTCTGTATCATTCAGAGAGACCCCTCCCAATATGGGACTCAATTTCCCATAAACCCATGGGGCCGTGACAATGTAAAAGTTAGTTCCAAAGGCACAATGCTATTAGGAATAGTAGAAAACTATTCCCCAGAGGTGATGTGACTGAAATCAGGAAACAGAGCATGGACTGTACTCCGTATGAACAAAACAAGCATTATTTGATGCAATTACGCACCGAAATAAAAACGGGAGGGGAGGCATAAAAGTGAATGTTTCAGTGAAAGCCAGTTTAAAATAAAAACAAGATGGTGAACTGCTGCTACTTCAGCCAGAAGGATATTTAAACGACAGTGAGTGTCCCCGAAGCATGAAGGAGGAAGAAAAACTGAATAAATCAAGAACAACTTTAAGCCAAAACAAAGAATCTGCTCTCCAACACTCTACTCATCATATGACTGGAACTGCTGAAAATGTCAAAATTTGCTGACTTTGATTAAAAAAAAAGACAAAAAAACAGTTAGCAACTAAGTACTTCAAGGTCAAAAAAACAATTCAGAAAGTAGAAATTCTTATACTTTTTAAATATTTTGTTTACATACCTGGCGATATGGGCCGGCTTGAACTTGGAGAGGGCGTGTATGGGATTGGACTTGACACCGTCCGTGGACGGAGACCTTGTGCAGACATCTCATTGAAGTACCTACGGGAAGAACGGTGAGGCCAGCTGGACTAACGGGCTGCTTCAGGAGGAGTCTGAGGAACGCCTAACCCTCTCCACGTCCCCCCAAATGACAGAATGGCAGCTTTAACAAGCCTCTATTGGCCATTACATCAGTTATGCAAAAACACTGGTTTTTGGCAGTACCTTCAAAATAACTCACTACAAATTATGCACACAGCTAGTTCAGGCAGGTCTAAGACCCCAGGAGTCTCACTCATGATAGCAAGTCCACTGCAGACAAGATCCAGCTGAACATTACCTATCTATTTGCTGATATTTGGGTATTTCATTTAATTTCTATAGTTGGCAACCCACCGAATTAGTCCAATTGAAGGGGTTTAATCCTAACCCCTATACCCCCCCACTGTATTCAGACCCTTCCTGCATACACAGTGTGCAGTCTACACCCCCTGGGAAACTATCTGAAAGTCTAACAAAAAGAATGATGCCTCCACTAGTTTTCCCTGCCAGCTCAACAGCAGGATCAGATTACACTTTAGGGGTGACATTCCGGGCACTGGGGGACCTGTCCGGGACGCCGTACCTCTCGTCGTCCATCTCCAGGCTGGACTCGCTCTCGGAAAGCTGCCGGCACAGCGCCTCACGCCGCTCCATTTCCCGCTGCAGCTTCCTCTGCAGACGGATGTTCTCCTCGCGCATGTGCCGCTCCTCTTCAATGTACTGGGCCCGCTTCTCCGTGTCTAGAGAGACAAGGGCCCCACACAGCAGTAAGACCTCCAATCCACACACACAAACACACGCGTAGCTGCAGAGCGTAGTGAAGTGCCGGAAAGGCTGCGTGGCACATGGTGCAGACAGAGGGCGACTTTGCTCACGCGTCGCCAAGCCCAATATGGTTTTCCGAGAGCCACAAAAGAACAGCCACATGAAAGTCCTGTCTGGTAAGGAAACCACTCTTAGGATTCCATCAGGCTCTCTGCCGCATGTGACTGTGTGAAATCGGAGAGTGTCGTAGTTCCATCTAGTGGCAACTGAGAGTAATGGCAGGACTACTGCAAAACATTCCCTCTTAAAGAAAGGGAAAAGTTGACTTATAAGGCTGATGTTAAGTTTTTCCATGGCCTATTTTAGGAAATGCGATCGACAAACTCAGGGGCAAGGTTACAGAGTTTCCACGGAAACGCAGACGAGACGTCCCGGGCGCAGCTACGCACGCTGCAGTTCGGCAGTGCGCAGGTTCTTCTTCAGCCTTTCCACCTCGTTCTTCAGGAACCGGATGTGCCGCATCATGTTTTCCGGGGAGTCGATCTCCATGGATATGTCCCTCGGGGATGGCGGGGCGGACACAGGCTGGTCCAGTTTCTCCTGCAGGATCCTGCAGTTTGAGGGGGAGAGAGAGAGAGAGGGGCCGATTTTGGATTTCCCCGCTAACCGAATCCCACGACCTTGTGGCAGTTTTCCACGACGTGGGTTTGAATCGTTCATTCACACAGAATTCTTCTGAAAGAACCGGCAGACTGACATTTATACAAATTAAAGACTACAGAAAGATTCACGTTATGGAGAAAACCGTTCCAGTGATTAGCGCATCAAAGAAACTGGAAACAGCTGGAAATGCTGAGTGCAAGCGAGTGCGATCGCCGATGCGACCTTGAACACAGACCTCTTCTCGGCTTCCAGCTTGTCCATCCTCTTCCAGAGCCGGTTGACGAGAGCCTCCTGTTCCTGCTCCAAGGTGTTCTCCAGGTCGATCTTCTCGCGCCTGAGCTGGAGACATTCAGAGAGACCAAGCGGCCGTCGAGAGTCAATTTCCAAACCTGACAGCTCACCAGCCTCCCTGCCCAGACTCAGCAGATGACCGGATAGAGTGCGTCAGAAAGATAGCGTGAGGTAAACAGTGCAAAAACATGGTTAAAAATCAGAGCAAGAGAGCCACGGGGGCTGGGGGGGGACTCCAGCTCGATCGCGGGAGGGCCGACCTGCTCCAGCGTCAGCTGCTTGGAGATGGTGTCGTTCTCCAGCTTTTTAATCTTCTTCATCAGCTTGTTCACCTGGAACTCCTGCTCTTGCTCCAGGTGCTGCTCCAGCTCCGCTTTCTCATGTTGCAACTGGAAGTAATGAGGGGAAAAAAGCCAATCCAACAGTTATAAACGGCCTCAGCAGTAGGCGGCTAACTGCGGCTTTGTTTGAATCATGAGAAAGCATTTTAAAACTGTACTTATTGTACTAGGAATCTATTTTTATTAGATGACCTGCCCTCATTGAACTCACTTGACACCCTGTACTGGGCTCCCAATCCTGCTTAGTTTCACAAGCGACAATGAGGAAAAACATCTGATTTTGCTGGTAACAGCTGTATGCATATTGAACATATTTCACCACATCACAAGTGATGGAGCTCAGCTTGACACTGTTCATCAAGACAAGCACGTTCACCCAAAGACCTGGGGGGCGTTCCACAAAGCAGGACTTCAGCTAGCTGGGTTAACTTACACTAGAAGTCATGACTTCCAAAAGGAATGCTCCTTAACTAAACTCTTATTGGACGATCATCACTTCTAGCTTAAGTTAACCCAGATAACTGAGAAGTCCTGCTTCATGGAAAACCCAGCTGGTCATTGTTTTCTGAATGTTGGGTAGGAGGCAGCACCTCAGTCCATGAATTCACCATTTACCTGTTGTCTTCTGAAAATCAGAGCGCCCACTGCCAGAACCCCGGCACCTACTTGCATGAGCTTTCGGGACAGCTCGTTGGTGAGGAACTCCTCCTCCTTCTCATAGTTGACGGCGAGAGTTTCCTTCTCTTTCTGTAGAGCCTGGATCTTCTTAAACAGGGTGTTGCTGATGAATTCCTCTTCTTGTTCTGCCCGCGCTTGCTGTTAATATTTAAAAAAAAAAAAAAAAAAAACGCTTCCCTGTCAGAGGCCAACACAACGGTTCGAATGTCACACAATCCTGTATTTTGCCTAAACCTTTTTTCTAGAAAATATATTCTGCAAATGTCAAACTCTAGTGCAAAAGCCTGATTTGTGTGCGCGAAAGGTATCCAGTGGACTACTGTCTGTTCAGTGGATTGTTAAATCATTTTCTCTATGTTTCACATTAAATAAACCATAATTTCACCTTCTATGCCACATCCATATATCAGAAATATGAATTACTTGAGAACAGCCACATTCTAAAACAAAAAGTACTCTGATGCCCCTTAACTGTTGGCATGCAAAAAAACATTCAAAAAAACCTACTTCACAATTATCTCAAACCAATGGACATGCCTTTAGTACAGACACATTAATGTTCAGTACAAACAAGGGCAAAGCCATTATGGGATGACTGTATTCTAGCAAGCAAACAGCCCAAGCCTGTATATCTGATACTCACTGCAGAAATGAGCTTAAACTTTAAATAAAGCATCTACCCTTGGACCAAAGCAACAAGCACTGGAAAAGATTTCCAACTTGGTGGCAAAGCCTTTCTTTGAAGACCAGTTTAACCCTCCACCTGGGCTCGAGTCACGCTGAACATGGCGGAAGCCAATCCCACCGCGATCTCACAGTTGAGGAGAAAATAAAGTGGGTTCTCACTGCCACACCACTTAGGTGAAAATTAAACCTCTTCAGTTACCCTCGTTATCCTTTACTGGGCTCAAGCAGCCATCCCTCTGTTCCTAAACTCTGTCCCCATGATGGATTCAAGCCAATAACACTACAAATACTTTTTCTGGTGAGCATTTCTCTACTTCCCTTGTAGCTATCTGGGATAGCCAAGCCAACGTCCATACACAAGCTGTCAGAAAACAGGGTAATTAAACCCCCCCCCCCCCCCATCTGGGACTTCGGCTCTTTGCATTTCACAATGGAACCGATAAATAAAAAAGGACACGTACAAGCGAGAGGAAAGAATTGCATCCAGGAATAAACAGTCACAACCACAGGGGAAAGTGCAGAATCTGCATGACAGAGTGCACCATCTGCAGCGATTTTTAATGAAACAGAATGAAGACGACTGGGAACACGCAGAATCGGTGACACACCAGCATTACTTCCAAAGGCACTTCCATGACAATGCAGACAACAGAGCAGCAACCTAATTTCTTCCAATGAAAGGATACAATGTGAAGATTCGATTCAACTGGGTTTCATGTGGTATTTAGCACCAAGTTACACAACACTTTCTAAAAGGTTTCCTTATCCTAGAATATAAATCCACTAATAAATGCCCACCTGGCAAACCAAAATTCCAGGTAGTATTATTCGCAAAAAATACATTAAAAACAACGTCTATTTTGTTATATTAGAGAGGAAATTTACTCGGCATACTGATAAATAAACTAAAGGTATGGTATTTCCCATGTAAAATCTTGTTAAAAACTGAACTGTACAAAATTGTAAGTACAGTATGTTCTGCAGGATAGTGAAAGACATTGTTACACCTCCAAGTGCATCTAATTTCTGTATTTGATTATTCAGAAAACAACCTTGACTTCACAAAGATTCAGTGCGCAACTGGAATTGCCCAAATGTAGTTTACCCAAATAAGCAGGACACTCAAACACATTAGGGAGCTCAGACGACGTCATCACAACACGCAAAATGAGAGGATGAGCGGACAAAGAATGTCACACGGCTCGTTATCGGGGATGACAAGTGCTTCATTAAACTGCAGGTGCTGTGCTCTTTAGCACTGGCTTTCAAACACACCAGCTGACGATGAGACGACCAATGAGAGACGAAGGCCCAAAAACAATCATAGTGGGGAGGTAAGATGTAACAGTGCACTGAGTGGTTTTTGATTAAAACAAAAAAAACAGGAGTAAAATTGTTTAACCTGATCGTTTTTGGACATAGCCGCAAATATTCAGCGTAATACTTTCTTGGAAAAAGAAACAAAAATGATCCATTCATGGATTAGAAGCTGACAGATTCATGTTAAGGTAAGCCCTTCACCTCAGCAGCCATGAGGACGATTAATAAGTCTGCTGTTTATTTTTCAGGGTGTTGGGTGCAGGGCGTGCAAGGGGAGACTCCCTCTGTGAGATCCTTGTGTGTTCAACAAGCTGGTCGGCAAATTTGGTTCCAGGCAAAATAAAAAGGTGACGGTCCAATCGAGTAAGACAAACGTCATCGATCCCAAGGGAAATTCTATTGAGTAGACAAGCAAGTACAACGTGTGCATAGACCAATACCCTTCTCTGGCTGTCACACGATCGCTCAAGCTGTCTGTCCATTCGTCTACATGCGCATGCACGCACGCTCTCTCTCTCTCTCTCTCACACACACACACACACACACACACACACACACACACACAATGGAAGCGTTTCAGCGGCTGACGAAGACGGAGTTGGCATCCACCAGACTTCTTTGTTATGACAGCCAGCCTTTGTTCACAATGAATTCTTGCTAAACTTCCAAGTAAAAAGACAGTGATTCCAGATGGTCAATCTCGGACACCTCAACGACTCAAAGCCCCTACAAACCAATATCTACCCTTGTTTGCTTCATCACGTACCAACAGCTGGTGGTGTGTAAACTTCACTTCCAAACCACCGGTGTAAGATTCAGACATCCCATACACACTGATCACCACCCCACTAATGCAGTATTTCAACGCACCACTGGGGAATTAAAAAGACGCCACAATCTCGTGTGTGGTGCAGAACGCCCAAGTGGTTTAGTGACCTTACATGCACTTACAGCAACACTGGGACTGAGGCACGCGCTTCCCAAAGTCCAGGCTAGGATCATACTTTCCGGTGACACCACTGACGGCACGGAAAGCCCAGTGCTGCTTTAATGTCTGAGGGCAGCAGCGTAGCCATCCAACGGTGTTGGAAAAACAGCCGCCATGTGGCAATACACATGGCGATGGAACACAGGTATACTGGTTAAAGAGCCAAAATTGCAGCTACATTACTGAGGTATAGACATATTAGAAAAGATGCCAAAACTGCAGATGTATTACTGGGGAACTGACATATTGCAAAAGGTGCCAAAACCGTAAGTACACTACTGGGGTATAGATATACTGGGTAAGGTGTCCACCTGTACTGTTTAACAGGGGTAACTTAGGGACAGGCCACGGTCACCGTTTCATCTTTCTGCCCCCGCTGCCCAAAAAAGAAATGCAACTCAAACCTATCAAATGATATTATTCAGGTTTAAGATATTAAATAACCGCGGCGCTGTGACTAACACGGCAAGACCGCGGAAAAGGAGCCGCTATTGTCCGCAGCCTCGACCAGACGACCCGGCTGGAGCAGGTTAGCTGGACGGGTAGAGAGACCTGCGGGCAGCCAGGTGACGGGCCCACGGCTGTCAGCGGTCTACGTGTCCGTACTGTGCAACGAAGCGGGGCCCGGGCCGCATACCTGAGTGCGCCCCCAGCGCCGAGGCCCCCGGGAAGCCGCGGACACTGCCCGGCGCCCTGCAGCTTCGCTAGCTTACCAGGCTAACTGGCTAATCACTCCGACGGGCTTGCGGCTTACGGTAGCCCGTTATCCGCCCGTTAGCACGACAGACGGACGCCATCCAGAATCAAGCGTTTCAACGAAGGTGGTTCCACGGGAGGGAGAAGCCTTCCGGGCGGCTGCCGAGTGTTGCAGCGGCCAGGCGAGACGAGCGTAGGCGCCGTGCGGCTTGGAAACTCCGAGGGCACCGCGGAGGGCCTGTTTACGGCGAAGGGAACCGCTGCTCGCGACTTAAACGCTCAGAACCAGCTCCGGCCTCCTCATAAGCGGACAGAATAAGCGCATAAAGAAGCCCGCGTCTGTGTGGCTGCGTGTAGGGGACGCTCCAGGTGGGTAAATCATCGCCGCACGGCCCCTACTCACAATGGTGACGCTGGCCTTCCGCAGGTCCCGGTTCTCCTCCTGCAGCGCCTTGCACTTCAGCTTGAACGTCTCCAGCTCGATCTTCAGCACCTTGTTCTCCTGCTGCAGCGAGGCCAGCCGGTTGGTCAGCTCCTCCAGGCGAAATGGCGAGATGACGATGCCCGGCTTGCCGGAGGCTGACGAGGACGAGCACTGCGGGACGGCCGTGCTGCTCCCGGCCCCGTCCGTATCGCTCTCGCTCGCGCTGTCCGCCATGATCGCCGAGTGATTGAGCGCGAGGGCGCAATGATTCAAGTCTGGCAGGGACCTGGGGCTGGGAGGTGGGGGTGGGAGGGGGGGAGCGCTGCGCGGAGAGCGACCCCGCGCGTCACACAGGGAAACTGCATCTGTGCGGCAGAGGAACGCCATCCAGCGGTAGAGAGCTGAAAACTTAGACGTGTCCTGATGGCCGTCGTTGGTCACGGGTCACATGTAGACTGATGATGAATATTGTTGTGTTTGGTGCCGTCATCATATCTAGCGAAAACGAAATTAATTTTTTAAAATGTGGGACGTTGCGGTAATTCGTACATCTAAATGTTGAAATTACTTCTCATTAAAAAGACACTTAGCTGTGGAGATGACAGATTTTTAGTTGAATGTGCTGTATAATACATGTAAAATATGCCAAAAGGCTGTGGTGTGAGATGGAAAACAACGGTTATAATCAGTTGTTAAAAACGTGATGTGATAACATAATTACAGCAATTTAGTGACTTAAAGACATTAAAGACATTTAGCATCTTATGTGAGAAATAGTCTTCTTTGTTAAATTATTCGCACCAACCTGGGTTGTTCCCTGCCTTGTACATGCAGTCTCTGGGACAGGCTCGGAACCCCCCCCCACGACCCTGAACAGGACAAGCGGTTACAGAAAATGGATGGATGGATGTTGAGGCATTCATATATCCTTATTTCTTTTGTTCACAATGGGGTTTATATTTCAAGTATAACATTAAATGTGTCTGTACATTTCGCCTTTGAACAGTATGTAAATTGTGCATTGTGTATATGTAAACCATATAGCAAATATGGTTTGTGTTTTACAGGTTTCTCTGGAATATAGAGCAAGGATACCTTAAAATAACTTCTGCTATGACACATGAAGAAACCATTTGCCCGTAAGCAGTAATGCAGAAAAATGTCTGGAATCATTTCAAGCTAGAGGCTTGGTCTTGTATACGTGGGGTTATGGCATCATTTAAGTGTTACATACGAATGTTTGGAATCCTGTCCTGGGTGTACCCCTGACTGCCTAGAATAGGCTGAGTCACCCCCAGGGGCAGATTAACGCATATGCTATCCTAGGGCCCCAGCAAAATCTGCGGCCCCGCCCCAAGAAAAATGCAACAGTTTAACTTATTAAATCTGGCTGTCTGGGATCCTGCACTGTACTCACCCAATTATTGACTTTGCATTGTTTTTTAATTTTCTCCCATTTCTCTTTCTGCTCCAAAAAAATTCTGAAGTGGCCCCATTGAGGGGCCCCCAGAGAAGTTAATCTACCCCCGATCACCCCCACCCCTGGGCAGAATAAGCAGTTGGAAGTTGGAAGGTTATGAAGGGGGAAATATGTGCTTTAGGCTTTAGTCTGTGTTCCTTTAGCACAGTGCTCACGGGGTCATCCTTTAGTCTCTAGGCCAGGGGTGGGGACCCGGATCCATGGAGGACCGGTGCGGGTTTTTGGGATGACCTCTGAAACAGCTAATAACAGTGGGTCTCAGGACTGCAGTTGAGAATCACTGTTTTATTATTGCCTGATTGAGACGTTGTCTCAAAAACCTGGACTGGACTTCCACGGAACAGGTTCCCCACCTTTTCTCTGGGCCTTTACATCAGCCCAGGGACTTATGAGTCAAACTGAAGTATTAATGTTGATTAGAATTAGGATACCTGACACTCGCTAATCAGGAAGGAAGACTGGAACACATAATGTGTAAAAAACAGAGTTTGGCGGAGGGCATACAGAACTAAGCAGCAAGTTATGCTGATTAAAGTCACTTCTTTAGACTGTAAACATATCTCAGCACCAGAGGTGGAAAGTTCAGGTCCAGAAAGTACAAATCCAGACCAAGATTTTCTTTCAACCTATCAGTTGAATATAAAGTCACAGTGGCAGATTACTCTACTGGTTGATTGAAATAGAATCTTGGTCTGGATTTGTACTTTCTGGACCTGAACTTTCCACCTCTGCTCAGGACATTCAGCAGGTCACTTTGTCAGCTGTCATGAAAAGACCATACCTGGCATCCTCTCCATGCACGTAAGGAACGGGGGTGGGGGGTGGATGGCTGTGAGGATGGAGCTGACCTTAGCCTTGCGTGTTGAAGAATGACATTAACTTCAAAACAGAGTAATCGCTTGTCAGCGGGGTCAAGGGAAGCTGTCATGCAGCTTCATTATGCTAAAGCAAACAAATTCAACTAGTTCAAAACTTTCAAAATCACTCTTCTCAGTAGTAAAATCAGGTTAGAAGTTAGGAGAGTGCAAAAGCACGTTTTGTTTTCAGTGATACTAATTTGTCATTTCAGATGGTGTTTGAGATGTAGAACATAAAAATAATTAGTAGGCCAGGGTGTGAGTAGAGAATTCCCTGCAGTAAAAGCAATGATATGCATTAGAATGTGATATCCAGGGGCACTTCAATGCACAGGGTTACCCAGGCTGAAGCCCAGGGGCCTCCGATAAAAGGGGCCCTTACAAAGGGTCCCCCAATCAACAACTCAATTAGCCCAGGGGTTATTGCTAGTAAACACATCTATCATTCAAACCTGTTTGTTTGGGAAAAAGCTACATTTCTATTCAATGTACTTTATGTAAACAAATTCAAATAAAAAATAACATAAGGTCATGTAACATCTTTTAGAAAAACTAAAAATATGACATAAATGTGACATAAATCAACGTTAGTGCCTGCAAAGTAAAATGTTCAACAGAAGGGTTTTAATGTGATGTAGGAGACAAAACTATAGAGCCATTCTGACTCCCTAGTGCAAGACATAAACTGCACTGATAACCTTTAAAGAAAGACATCATGCCAGAGTTCAACACAATTTATTTTATGTTTAAATAATCAACTAGATCATCCAGTGTTTGTTTTTTCATACATACGTTATTAGGTCTACTATCAATGAATGCCTTAGGTGTTCTTGTATGAATAGTTTCAATGTAAGGAAATATTTCACCAAAACCCAAATAAAAATGCCCTTTTAAACCACAGCAGCCTTAAAACCTATTGATACACTGCTATTAATGATTACAGTCATTCGGCTTACAAAGACTTCTATATCATATAGCCAATACACATGATGCAATTATAATTTTACAGCGTGCCAATCTGACGGACACATTCCAATAACTTGTCCGGTCATTTTGCCGTTCAAGCATACAGTCTGTAGAGGCTAACCTTCAACTCCATGTTAGGGAACAGAAGACAATCGATAAGCATTAAAAGAAACCCCCGACCTAGCCCCCCAAGCCCCGGCCCATGTGGTGCAAATCTTTTTTTTTTTTTATAAAACCAGAAATAGTGACAAATGTTAGGGTTATGCATGTGTACGCAGACATTTCCTTCTGTCGTATTATTCTTAATACAGTGTTTGCAAACTTAGAAAAATTGTAATTAAAATAAGGTGAATCACATGCATCAAAATATTAGTACTCTGAAGAAATATTTTCACAGGACTACAGATCTTCCCGTTTTGAGAATTATTGAGTCGCAACAAGTTTTAAAGAAATGTCCCAAGTTAAAATCAAGCTAGCATTTTTTTTTTTTCATTTACAAACATTTTACCAGCTAATAATTATACAACAAAATGTGAAGTTACACTCAAGCCTTCCGTTAAAAGTGGAACCAAATGTCTGTATTTACTTCTAATGCACTTATAAATACGTTCTCAGTGCCTCCACAATCTGTAAACTACCCATTTTTTTCAGAATTTATACAGTGTAATTTATATACAGCAAGATCACTGATAATTTTGTTAAAAAAGAAACAAAACAGCATTTTATACCCCAACATCATGGGTCCAAGAAAAAATCTAAGGCGAGTGAACGAGTTGATTTTTAAATGTTCGTCTGTTTTGTCTAATCGGATTTGTTTTTTCGTGCCGTCTTTGGTCACAGAAAGATTTTGCTCGGGTGCTGCTGATGCTGTTGCCGCCCGTGTTCCTCTCGTCTGCGATGCTGAAGGACACCGATCCCGTCACCATGACAACACGTCGCCTCTCATGACGCTCCGGTCATTGACAGAGTGTGAGGTTCATGCTCATGCTAAATGAAAAGAAACATCCCCGTTCGGTAAAGCATGCCGTTTATGCAGAAGCCGTCCACACTCCTGCAGCCGGCCCACTTCTGGCGTTCGGGTTTCCAGTAATTGCCCCCAGGAAGAACTGTGTAAAACATTTGCAAACCTAAAAAAACATTGTGAAATGTTATAATTCTTGTATATGAGTTAGAAGGTAGGTTTGAGTAACTGCATAGTTACACTTGAATAAAGCAATTATTCTATAAATGGAGTTTACTTAATTGGCATGCCGAGAATTCAACACCAAAGACAAAAACTCGTGTCGACACAATGAAAACAGAGTCCACTGCAGCTGCACCATTTCATTTGCCCTCCGAGATTATGGTAACCCTGCCATTTATCAGCCAAGCCCCCACTAATTCCTGCGCGGTTCCACCATCTTTCGTGTAAACGATGCCACGGCACATTGTAACCAATGCAAAGGAGCTTAACGGGCCAGCCAATCAGATTGCGTGGTCACTGTAATGCTTGTCCCCCCTCGATAAGGCTGATAGAGCTGGTCGGTGAGGGATTATGGGGCTGCAGTGGTAACAAGCACCCCCCCCTGCTCTTGGTGTGCTTTGTTTAGCTGCGTCCACATGTAATCTGTGGGCGTTTGAAGGTGAACGGGGTCACGAAGCATGCTTCCATTGTGTTTCAAACACTAGCAGTCACTGAGCCAGGCTAGATCAGCTAAATGTCACCATCCCTGCTCCGGTGCAGGCCACCGTGGCTCCGAAGTGGGAGGGGCACACGTACCAGGTAGAGCTCCGTGACAGTTACGATTTAATCTTTTTCTCCCCCTTCTTTTTCTTTTTGGTTCCATCCTCCAGCTGAAATACAGGCAGGTGCATAAGAAAAGGGACACACCAAGGTTTACTGGGAACATGCCAAACAAACGAACACAAGATGGTCCAAAAGTGTCCTGGAAAGAAAAGGTTAGAGTCAAACATACAAGCAGTGCACAGCAAGCAGTAGGATTTCCCAGACTAGATTCC